CTCCATTTCAATCATTGCTGGTAAAATGGCCTGCTGTGAATCCGTAACCATTTATTTATTTATTTATTTACAGTATTTATATTCTGCCCTTCTCACCTCTCAGGGGACTCAGGGCGGATTAGAATGCACATATACATGGCAAACATTCAATACAAGGTAGACATACAACATATATAGACAGACACAGAAGCAATTTAATATTCCAGCTGTGCCTAAGCTTTTCTGGCTTCTGAGGGTATGCTGGATTCCGACTCGATGTTGGTGACAGGGGGAGCTGCCGCTTCACCATCCATTGTGACACCGAGTCCTTTGATGGAGTACTTCCTCATTCTTCTGCATGCTGCTGGAAGGTTTTATGGTGTTGTAAATTAGTTAAATTAGCCTCCCCGCATAAGTGGTACCTAAATTTCCTACTTGACAGATGCAACTGTCTTTCAGCTCAACAGTAAGGTAGACGAATGGCTGGAATCTCACTCTGACCTGGGCTGGCTTTGAACTCATGACCTCTTGGGCAGTCCTTGATTTAATGCAGCTAGCTCTCAACTAACTGCACCACAGCCCGGTTGTATGTTGTTGTTCTGTTGCATTTTTCTTTTTTCTTTTCAAAATAAGAAGAGAATGGCATGAAAATGAAATGTTCGAATTTAATTTATTTAATTGTTGGAATCCGCTTACCATAAATAACTAGGAAGAGTTATCTGTCATTTTAAATCAAAAGGATTGTTTTCCCACTCAATACTTTACTCCTGAAATTTGCCTGTGTTCTGCCCAAAAGCTAAATCATTGCGTATGTCCTCAATATTTGTGCCTAATTACTTCAAAGTCCTGGTTGTTTCTAAAAATGTGATATCCTCAACTGCAGGGATATGCTTTCTCTCCAGTTGATTTTTGGTTATCAGGAATGACTCGTGAAACCAAATGAACTTGACTTAATGTAAAATGTTTTCCTCTTAGGTGAATGGTGTGTTCCAACCCCTTCCCATGACCCTTTCTGTTTCCGGAGGACAGCTTAGAGCCTACCAGCATGGCTTGAAAGTATTGATACAAACAGATTTTGGCCTCATTGTGGGTTATGACTTGATTTACCACATGATAGTCACTGTCCCGGGCATATACCGAGGTGAAATGCAAGGCCTATGTGGGAACTACAATGGAGTGAAGAATGATGAGTTTCTACTCCCTGACAGCAGGACAACCTCTGACGTAGCTACATTTGGGGCTGCCTGGAAGGTTCTGATTCCTGGGAGAGAAACATCCTGTTCGGATGGATGCACTGGGAGTAGCTGCCTGGTCTGCGAGGAGAGGAAGAAGGACATGTTCAAGCAGCGCAACTACTGTGGGATCCTCAATGCATCCGATGGCCCCTTCAAAGCTTGCCACAGCCAAGTGGACCCCAGTGTGTACTTCAACACCTGTGTTTATGATGTGTGTCTGGCCAATGGAGACGACTCCGCATTGTGTCAGAGCATCCAGAGCTATGTGTCTGCCTGCCAAGGGTCCGGAGCTCCTGTCCAGCCTTGGAGAACTCCATCCTTTTGCCGTGAGTTATGTTTATGCAACACACTGTATCCAACTGGAATAGATCAACCTTTTATCTTCTTTGCATGATCGCAATATTTACCTATTCCCCACCTTCCCTGTCCTTTTTTGTGTAGGTAATCTTTCCATCTAATTCAGTTATTTGTCTAATTTAGCNGCCGTGAGTTATGTTTATGCAGCACACTCTATCCAACTGGAATAGATCAACCTTTTATCTTCTTTGCATGATGGCAATATTTACCCATTCCCCACCTTCCCTGTCCTTTTTTGTGTAGACAATCTTTCCATCTAATTCAGTTATTTGTCTAATTTAGCTCTCAGTTGTCCAGCCAACAGTCACTATGAGGTTTGTGCAAATCTCTGCTCCACCAGCTGTACCAAGATTACTGACACCAGAGCATGTCCAGAGGGCTGTGCAGAGGGCTGCCAGTGTAACAACGGCTACTTTTTTGATGGTCATGGCTGTGTTCCTGTAGAAAGTTGTGGATGCTTCAAGAATGGACGCTATTACAAGGTAGGCTTATCTTGGCATCTACAGTCATGATCCTATTGGGAAATTGGGAGTGGAAGTCTCCACCCATGCACTCCAGGTAGTCTCTGGAGTGAAGGCTACTTTCTCTTCTTCAATATTGACTGGTGGCTTGGTTGCCTTCGCACATATTGGAGGGTATATTCATAGAATCAAAGAGTTGGAAGAGACCTCATGGGCCATCCAGTCCATCCAGTAATTCCTTCAAACAGACTGCATTCTAGCAATAACGCAGAATTTATTTACTCTTCCCACCACCCATTGGAGCCCCTGGTGGCACAGTAGTTTAAACCCTTGTGCTGGCAAGACTGAAGACCGACAGGTCGCATGTTTGAATCAGGGGAGAGTGTGGATGAGCTCCCTCTGTCAGCTCTGGCTCCCCATGTGGGGACATGAGAGAAGCGTCTTACAAGGATCATAAAACATCAAAACATCCAGGCATCCCCTGGGCAACATCCTTAAAGACAGCCAATTCTCTCACACCAACTTGCAGTTTCTCAAGTCTCTCGAAAAAATCCACCCGTTTAGTCTTAATCTCTTTGTTACTCTTCTAGCCCAATGAGCAGGTTCTTCTGAACAGATGCCAGGAGCGCTGCCGCTGTCTCCCAGGCCAGGAATTAACCTGTGAGGCTCACAGCTGTCCCACTGATGAAACCTGTGAAATCCAGAATGGAGTCATGGCTTGCGTTGAGAAAGGTAAATAACATTTTTTAATTCCTCTGGCTATGATGAATATTAAATGACTGCAATCTTTTCCCTCACCCTTGACAAGAAAAAGGGATCTTGACAAAAAGGGATATAATATTTTAAAATCTATAAGCCATACCAAGATTGTGTCCTCCCCATATGAAATTGGCATGTTTTTCTTGCCAGTAATGGTGATAGCTAACCCCTCTTAAACTCTTTCCTAAACTCTTAATGAAAGTAATTCTAATCCCTTGCTCTCTTGCTCACAGGGAGGAAATTTGTCTATTTTTTTTGTTCACACATGGAAACAAAATAATGGCAATTATATCCCAGCTTGCATATTTACTGAGTCAGCCTTCTCTTGAACTGTTGTGTATATGCAAGAATAATCTGGTTGACCAGTGCACTCAAAGATATCGTAGTGCAAAAATTCAACGAAATACTTTCATGCAACTTTTACCAAAAAGGCCCCATATATTATAAATCCTTAATAAATATATATTCTTAAAAATCATATTGATTGAAGACTTTCCTTTTTATCTTTTCTTCTTCCATATGAGACATCTCAGCCTCTATATATGCACTTTGTGAGAGTCTTTTCACCTGTTGTGAGAGTTTTTTCACCTGCTGCATTCACAGATCTAAGATGTCCAGCAGCAAGTCATTCATTGAAAGTGTCTGTTACCATATACAAAGTTTTAGTATATATTATCTACTACATTTCTGTATTAAATTAAAGCACACATTTTCCAGTGTGTACATCTTTTATGGATTTGTTCTTCATCCATTTTGAATTGCCAACTGCTGTCAAACGACAAGCACTAAGCAAAATTTCTTCATTTGTAATTTATTGGCATCCAGTCCCCAAAATAACAAGACCACACAACAATATGGGATTAACTATGGGCAATTTTTATTAATGTTATCTAATTAACCTTCTGTGACTTGCAAAAGCTTTCTAAAGGGTGCATGAACTTGGAGTGAAATAAGCTGAGGGAGTGGCCATCTAGGACCTACTCCACGGCTAACTTGGGTGAAACACCTGGGTCCCCCCAGCTGTAATAAGCTGTACCCTTTCCAGGGCACTCAGGGAAATGTAACTGAGAATTCTGCACTAGCTCAAAAAGATTTATTGAGGCCAGAAACTGGCTTTTTGGTGCTTTTGGAAGTTTATTTATTTATTTATTATTCGAACTTATATGCCGCCACTCCCCTAAGGCTCGGAGCGGCTTACAAGAAGTTGTGCTCGAATCCAGTCACTTGTCACTTCTTCCTTTTGGTCACTGGAATTTTCTGATCTTTTGACTTTATGATGTCGTAAAATCACCTATTTAGTGGGATCCTATGGTTCTGTCCCAAAGCCCAGAGGATACAAGAGGAAGTGATCAATGTTAAAGCCATTGCTTTCCATGGGATCCTACTGATCTGCATGGAACCCCAGGGAATACAAGAGGAAGTGATCAAGGTTAAAGCCATTGCTTTCCATGGGATCCTATTCATTTGCATGGAACCCCATAGGACACAAGAGACTGCTGACAGTTGGACAATGAAACAGGATGGGGAAACTCTGATCCCACCCCACCTATTTTTCAAGTGTAAAGATGGGAGTAAAGTGTGGTAAGAGGGAGAAGCTCTGAACAGGATTGCTGGCCCGACTGCATCTCCCTCCTCAAGGCCGCCACAGCACCAACAGGCCCAGGAGGGCCTCCCCATCGCCCTCCTCAAGGCCGTGGCGGCTCCCGGTGATTTATTGCTTTTTGATGTTTGTTCCTTTTGGCAATGAATGTTTACCACTTGGTTCTTTTGTCCGTAAACCGCCCTAAGTCCCTTTGGGGAGATAGGTCAGTGTATAAATGACACATTATTAATATTATTATATTGCTGGCCCCTGTTCATTTTTTTTTTTGTTAGGATAGAGCTGCGTAATGTGATTTATTTTTTTTCAAGGTGGCCAATTGATTTTAACTTTTTATTATTGCAGTTTTACATATTCAGTGCTTAAACATTCTTATAATTATCACTTGCCCTTAACAAATTATATACAGAACTTATATGTCTTAATACCTATAATATATATTTCATCCTCTCACTTTATTACATTTTGTCCAATCACCTAGTGCTGACCCTTCACCCTAGACCAGACAATTGCATTACTTATTTTCAAAATTCCATTGTTTCTATTACAGGTTTGGTCCCCTTCCCTTCTATATATACATATTCTATCAGTTTTCCCCATATCTTCAAAAACTCATTTTTTTTCCAGTACTCCTCTTAATCTTTATACTACCTGTCACTTTATCGTTTATTGCAGTATCCCAGATCCCTCTACCAGTCTTCCAATTGGCACTCCCCTCCTTCTTTTTTCGCTATTAACAATCTTGCTGCTGTTACCAGATTGGCAATTAATTCCTTTAGCTCCTTTGATATTTTAACATTATCAATAAGTGATAGCAGTGCTATTTCCGGCGTTCCTGTTATCTCTACTTGGGTGATTGCTGGCCCCTGTTCAGAGCTCCCTCCTTTCAGGACATTTCAGCCTCTTTTCAACCCTGGAACATTGGATGATGAGCTCAGTGCTTCTCCATGCTAGGAAAAAGGCTGGAGTGCCCTATGAAGGGGAAATTTCTCAATGTGAGGAGGTTGTTGGAGGATGAGCCATAGTCTCTCAGCCTCAGAGGAAGGCCAAGCAAAGCTCTCTTTATAGTGAGGGAGCGTGGCTTAGAAGTGCAAAGAGGAAGGTCTGAAGCCCCCCTCGCTCGGCCCTGGATGGATGTGGGCAAGGCACACTCAGAGGAAGGCCGTGGCAAAGCCCTTTAAGGACAAGTGACTGAGCCTCCCAGATGAAGATGAAGAGACCCCAAGCCCCCCGCCACGTCAATATCACTCATGCCAGATCACAATCACAGCCAGGTCTCCTCTCCCTCCCTTGCTCCCTGCCCCCCAGTGAGCCTGTGACGTGCTATATGATGGCTGCAAGTGAAGGCTATGCATTCCCAAGAGGCCCCCTCTGGGCACTCGGGGAAAGGGAGCAGATAGGGCTGGTGAAAGCTCTACCCGGCCAAGGTGGCCCCCCTGGGCGCTTCGGGAAAGGGGGGGGGAAAGCTTCCGAAAACTGGGCTCTTATTTGGGCCTGGAAAATGGAGCAGACCTGCAAGCAGCCCTGCCTGGTGCCTCCACGCATATCCCCCCCCCCCTCGGGGAACCTCTACCAGGCAGGGCCAACCAAGGGCCCCAGGCGGTGAGGCAGCCACGGCCCCCGCCAAAGAAGCAAGGCCCCCTCCAGCCCCTCCTCCTGAACAGGAGGAGAGAGGGACCAGCGGAGGGGGCTGTTGTTGCCCATAGATTCCTAGCTGCCCCCAAAGATAAAGGCGGGGCCAGGACCCAAGGGAGGTGGCAAAAACAGGGAGGACTCTGGGCACTGCCCTTTAAGGACCAGTGACTGAGCCTCTCAGACTCAGATGAAGGGACCCAAAGCCCCCCGCCACGTCACTATCACTCCTGCCGCATCACAATCACAGCCAGGTCTCCTCTCTCCCTCCCTTGCTCCCTGCCCCCAGTGAGCCTGTGAGATGATGCCAGGAGGACAAGTCTCTCACTTGCCAAGGAGGCCCCTTTGGGCCCTTGGTGACCGGGCGGCCCAAAATGCAAGTAAAAAAAGGCTCTAATTTGGGCCCGAAAAGTATCTGAAGAGGGAGCAAAGCTGCCCTGCCTGGTACAGCCCAGCATATTCCTCCCCCCTCGGGGAATCCCAACCAGGTGGGGCCAACACAGGGCCCAAGGTGGTGAGGCAGCCACGGCCCCCTCCAAAGAAGCAAGGCCCCCACCAGCCCCTCCTCCTGAACAGGAGAAGGGAGGGAGCAGCGGAGGGGGCTGTTGTTGGCCATAGATTCCTAGCTGCCCCCAAAGATAAAGGCGGGGCCAGGACCCAAGGGAGGTGGCAAAAACAGGGAGGACTCTGGGCACTGCCCTTTAAGGACCAGTGACTGAGCCTCTCAGACTCAGATGAAGGGACCCAAAGCCCCCCGCCACATCACTATCACTCCTGTCACATCACAATCACACTACACAATATCCCAGAGTACTTGTAAGGTATCAGCACAAACACAAAACAATCTATGCGTAATGTCAAAGTGTATTATCAAAAGAGCATATAGTATTCCATTTACCAAAATCCCCAGAACATAGCTCAATTCAGTGGTACACAGAAATCAAAAGGAGCAGCCGCTCTCAAACATAACAGTTCTAGGTCTGGATAAGGATTCCACTGTATATAGGCTTCAGGGATACATTCAATAAGAAAAGTCATATAAACAAAGTAAGCATTGAGTCATGAGGCTATATGTAAACTGAAGACAATAATGAGGATGAAGCGCCACTCTCAAAACAATCTTCATGGAAAAGATCCAACTCAAGTCCAGTGAAAATGGAGCACTGCTTCTCAAAATAAGTCTTCAAAGGAAAAGTCCAAATGGCATTCAACAGGGGTGCCAGGGTATTTTAGTACCCTGTTTCGGGGAAAGCAATGCCCTTCCTCAGGAGTTGATAAAGTCAGCAACTCTAGACTCTTATCTATAACAAAACATAACATCACATAGAGGCAGGAAAGCCACCGTAGTTCAGCCCCGTGTATCCCCCACCCTTGGGGCACTCCTACTAGGCAGGGCCAACCCAGTGCCCCAGGTGGGGAGGCAGCCACGGCCCCCCAAAAAAGCAGAGCCCCCTCCAGCCCCTCCTCCCCAGTGAGCCTGTGATATCCTGTGATGATGACTGGAAGTCAAGGCTCTCCTATGCCAAGGTGCCCCCTCTGGGCCCTTGGGGAAAGGGGGGCCCAGAAGGCAAAAGAGAACCGGGCCCTAATTTGGGCCCGCAAACTGGCTGCAGAGAACGCAGCAAAGGAGCCCTGCCTGGTTCCGCCCCACATATTCTCTGCCCTCGGCGCACCAATCCCAGGCAGGGCCAGGCCAAAACCCCAGACGAGGAGGCAGCTCCAGGTGCCAAGAAAGCAGGGGCCCCTCCAGCCCCTCCTCCCCAGGAGAAGGGAGGAAGTGATGGAGGGGAATCTTCTAGGACTCCCAGCTGCCCTGAGGACCATCCAGAATGGAGGTGGGGCCAGGGCCAGGACTCAAGGGAGGCGGCAAAAACAGGGAGCGCTCCGGGCCCTCCTGGTGGAGAGGGAGGCTGAGGGGGCGCTGCTAGCCCTCCTCCTCCCTGCCCCCAAAAGCTCTTCCTCACCGCCAGGGCCCAGCCACCATCTGGGGCCCGAAGGCACGCTCCCTGCTGCCAGCCATCCGCCAGCCCGCTGCCTCCCCCACCCCGCCCTGGACCCCGCCCACGACCCCTTCCAGCCTCTTCTGGTAAGTACACATGCACATAATTTTCTTTTATTCTAATTGACATGTTTTTTTAATTGTCTTGCTTTTCATATCTCTTCCCATTCTTTTTCAGTTATCTTTGTTCCTCCTTCCTCCTTCCATAATTCTCTTAATGTGTATCTTTTCTTTTTTCCTGTGTCCTTTATATATTTATTTGTTGTTCATTTTAATTGCTCACTATTTTCTCTTTTTAATCCTTTTATTATCAATTCCTCAAATGGTGTTATTTGTTTTCCAGTTTAGAAAAGATAGCGATAGATAGATGATAGAGAGGGCAACAAGTTAAACATGAGCCAACAATGTGACGTGGCGGCAAAAAAAAAAGCCAGCACAAGGGTTTAACCCACTGCACCACCGGGGGCGCCATATCCAGGTGGTAAACAAAACATATATACACACACATATTCACTCACTTTCAGATAAATCAATGGAAACAAATTTCATTTTCGCAATTTCTATCTTGTTTGCATAATTAGTAAGTTAGCACCTTAAAGTTGTCCAATTGTAGCTTTTGACTGACAACATGTTTAGAGATGCTATCAAGTATTAGCCGTTTTAAACAAATTGCTTGGACTTGTTCTTCTCTAGATGACCCAGTTGCTTCATGCAGCTTGATCAAATGTGGGAAGGAGGAGACGTGCGAGATCATAGAGACGCCCAGTATGTGTGCCAAAATCTGAATCTACCTGCTGGGCACAAGGATATCACCATTATCACACATTTGATGGGAGGACCTTTGACTTCATGGGCACTTGTACCTACACTGTCGCCAAGACATGCAGCTTGGATGCAGCTCTCCCTTCTTTCAAGATTGAGGCCAAGAATGAAAACAGGGGCAATCCTCGTGTTTCTTATGTTGGTTATGTGACCATCACAGTCTACAACATCACCATCTCTGTCTCCAGAAATGAGATTGGATTTGTGAGGGTAAGGAAAGAAGACAATCAATTTTCCACTTTATTCTCACTTTCTCAAATGTCCTTTTTTCAAAGAACAATTGGGTTATTTGCTTCATCTTTTGTTTGCATGTTATAATGGATTGAATGTTGATGGTTCATTTTTCTCAATCTTTATGTGTAACATTGTTTTTTCTTTTATTGCACAAGGAAAAGCATATTTTTCTGTTCCAAATGTGTATCTTCCTGTCCAATTAATCTTCTCAAAAAAGAAAAATAATTTATCTGTTCTATGTGCTCACATTTTTTAAAAAAATTTGAATCATATAAGTTAAAAGGATGATGAAATTTTAATTGAATGAAGCATCTTTCTCCAGTATTTGAAATCCTTAAGTATATCTAGTCCAAGCTTAGAGAAGATTGTTGTAAACAGGAGGAAAAGTGCGGTGATGGCAACCCTAATTCATAACAGAATTGGTTCTGAATACAGGGATTCATAGTTAGTTTTCAAATTTCAGGATTCTAAGCCCAGGGGACTTGGATAAACATCATTCCAAATGTCAGTATCTTTTTATTCTGAATATGAGTCATTTATAAATAATTTCATGTAATCATGTTTAAAAACAAGCTCAAACATAATTCCTTCTTTGTTATATCTCATTTGTCTCTCTTTCGTTTGCATAGTATGATGAGTTCTCCAACCCCACATTTGCAATATTTCCTTCTCCTTAACTTGCTGCTTACAATTACCTGTCATTGTTTTGTTTTGGTAACATATCAAGCTGTTATGTTCATAGTAACAAGAACAAGCATTCTGATTTAACAATGAAATGGCAAAATGCTCTGAATCAATATTTCTCAATCTGGGGGTTGGGATGCCTGGGGGGGGGTCAAGAGGGGGTTTTCAGAGGGGTCACCGAAGACCATCAGAAGACACAGTATTTTCTGTTGGTCATGGGGGTTCTGTGTGGGAAGTTTGATCCAATTCTAACATTGGTGGGGTTCAGAATGCTCTTTGATTGTAGGTGAACTATTCATCCCAGCAACTACAACTCCCAAAGTCTATTTCCCCCAAACACCACCAGT